TCGTAGTGTGGATTCGTCCCTTCCGACGACCAATGTTGTATTACATTCAGAAGTGTTGATATCTGGAGTTTAATCGGGATTGCTTCTCTTAGTAGATATTAATTCCCATTGTGGGGAGCATAGGAGTGAAAAGGTTTGTTGTAAGTACGCAACCCTACTTTTTACAGCGCATGGCTTCAAAGTTGCACCGTCTTACGTGCTGTCGTGCCGCTGTGTAAGTTGCCAGTCAACCGACACCAACCTTCGTTTACATCCAAGTTTTGCCATAGCTTTCTAGAGTCCGTTTAGTTTTGCTGCACCGAAAGCCCTGGTGAGGCCTACAGTTGTGGGAAACAAATCCTAATTGTCTGAAGATTTTCCAAACTCGCGTTGGTTCTTCCAGGATTTTTCCACAATTCATAGATTCCAGAAGAAGCGCATTTTCCAAGTGCGTGGTTAGGCGACTGAGGAAGATTAGACGAACTAGTGGCGTCAGTGAAGTTTCCTGCGATTTGCTTGTCTCCACATCCCTGCAACAACGTGATTATTTTATCCACGATTTAAGAATCGCCCTGTTTCTGCCGAGATGGAGCCAGCATCCGAAGTTTTTCCATGGGAAACCTACTGGACGGGCTTGATTGGCTCGAGCACTGACTGTAGATGATCGAGGTTAATTTTTGTTTTTGATTGACGAAGTATGTCGAGTTCTTGTCTTCGTAAACTAAAGATGAGCGATAAAAAACGCTCAATGCAACACGACAAGATCTGAGATTCCTGTTACGGGGAGCTTCTTACATCCGAACTGAGCAACTGCGGGGCGTTGTAGTCTGCCCGGAGACGTTTTTCACCGCAGTCCTCGTATGTATCAATACATTCCAGTTTTGGAAGTTAACCAAACAGTTGGCATCACTCGTAACCTTTGTTGCATCTAGGGCTGACGCCGAAAGGATTCCCTCTGGCTTGTGACGATTTTAGTTTTTGTAGTTCTAGGAGCGCAGGTGCTGGGTCCCCATCTAGATGTCATTAAAGTAGTCCAAGTGATCTCACCTTGCTGATGCAAGAAATTCAGTGGCGGCGAAGTAGAGGACACTGCCCAGGCAATTTAATTCGTTCTACGTATATTTACCTATGTAGACCTCTAACCGCATAGATTCGGCAAAACCCATTCCATTTCTTACATTTAGATCACGGTCGTCTCGCCCTTTGTTATGCATACTGTGCAACAGTTTTCGGGGAGTCAGTCGAGGGTGAATAGCGTACTCGTGCTTTCTGTCGACTCACTGGGTAAG